TATTGTTTAAAAAGCAGCATGAGAAAGCTTCTATAATGGTAAAACACTCTAAAGTTTTGATTCTGAGTGAAGAATTGTGGTTCTTAATAGAGTTATATGGAAGACTATAGGGGTTTTTTTTTTAGTAAATTTTAATGAAAAGTATAATTGGCTAATAACTTAATCATTATGATTAAAAGTGTAATTGGCTAATAACTTAATCATTATGATTCATCCTAATGTCAGGAAGGATCATAGATGGGAGAAATGCACTTCACCTGCTGCTGAGTAGTTCTCAGGCAGCATTTCATGTACTGAATAAGAAAAAAAAATTCAACTTGTATACTGATGTATACTGATACGCTATTGATGCTGGCTACTCAAATTATTTATATACAGTGCAATAGACTTTTTAAAATATATAAAATTACTTCCAATATCTCCCTTTGTTCAATGATTGGAGTAGTCATGAACTTAAAAAAAAACAACAACTATTTCACTCATTTTGTTCTGGGCTTATATAAAGTAATTCAAGCAAGCAATTCAGATCAAACTTGACCAACAGATAAGAGCAAATATTTATCATGTGCCTACCACATACAAAGTATTATGCTATGCTATACATACATACACACACATCAGCTAGGTGTCACAGTGGATAGAATGATAGAATGCCAGGCCTGGAGTCAGGAAGAATTGAGTTCGAATCTGATGTCAAATATTTACTGTGATCCTGTGACAACAGCAAAATAGATACATACAGAAACATACATATATACATATACATATGTATATGTATATATACATGTACACACATATATGTATATATACATGTATACACATATATCTACATGCATATATTTATAGACATAGCTAGATCTAGCTCAGCCTTATTGCACATTATACCCTTTCAGGTCCTCATATTTCAGTATACTTTCATGACTACATTTTAGCCCAATTATCCCATTTATTGTCCTCCATACACAGTATTCTATCTCCTACCTCTGCCTTTTTGAATACACCATCACTTCATGCCTAGGATGTACTCCTTTCTTTACCTTAGCTTCTTTGATCCCTATTCCCCTTCTAAGCTTATGGCAAGTACCAACTCCTACATGAGGCCTTTCTGGCAAATTTCCTTTTATTGGAAGCTTTCAAAGGAAGAAATTTAAGGTATTAATAGCTATATTCAAAAACACTTCCATCACTACTAATTAGAGAAATGCAAAAAAAATTACTCTAGAGTTCTTACCTCATACCCAACAGATTGGCAAAGATACGGAAAAAAAAGGAGTCACTAAACTGTGCATACCCTTTGACCCAGTTTTATCACAACCAAGCCTAGACATCAAAGAAAGAAGAAAAGGACCCATATATACAAAAATGTTTTAAGAAGGAGCCTCAAGAAGGTTATATGCTAGGGAAGGAATATAGCATCTAAACAGACAAGCAAATAAATACAAAGTATATTTAAAATAATACAAAGTAATTAGAAGCAGGAGAGAGCAATAATACCTTGGAGTGGCACCTAAAAGGTCTTGTGAAGGAGGTGGGGCATGAGTTGCTCTTGGGATTCTAAGGGGTGAGCATGAGGACAGATGCATTCCTGGCATAGAGAACTACCCTTAAAAAGGCATGGAAGTGGGAGATTTCTTCATAACTTAATAGAAATGCAAAATTTCAATAATTAATCAGTTAGTTTTAAGTCCTCAACCATACTTAATAAACTACATATACCTCTTTTCCCATAAATTTTCTCTCTCAATGCCCCCTAGTCTTATTGTTGTAGACAAACCGATGTGTTACTAGCTATACAACTTATTAACAGTGTCATAAATAATACAAAGACATGAAAACACTTTAACAATGTGTCAGTTGTGAGGAAGATCATAGCCAGAGTCATCTGACATTTTGTAGACTAGTAGATTATGTACCAATGAAACACAATTTGCCTTAGAAGCAGAAGATTCTGGTATTTGTGCACATATAAAGAAAGTATATACCTTGTCAGAAAACACAAAGTTGTTTGGCAAGATTGGGAAGACAAATTTATACCCCCCAAAAAATAAATAAATAGACCAACCAAGCTAAAACTTCCAAAGATGCCAAAGCAAAATAGAATGTTGCTTAGGTTTAGTATGAAGGATAGGTGAAAATATGGGCCTATTCCAATACTATTTGAACATTTTTTCATACCCATTGAACAAAACCATGGCATGACAAGGTTGTGATTACTTTGCTCCAAGCAGAAGGTCAAGCATATTTGATTTAGAAACTGGTTTTCTTTACTCCTTGTGAATTTTAATACATTAGCCAAGATGCTGGCACTGGAAATGAAGGAGGTGGGGCAGAGATTATAGACTGACTGAAATAGTGGTAATCTAAAGATTGAAGGAGAGTTAGACATATATTGAAATACTTTATTTAGGAATTGGAAGGGATTTTGGAATGGTCTAGGAGTATCAGGAATTGTAACATATTTGTAATGCAGATATGATTTTATAGGTACCTAGCTGCTATCTGCTAGAAGTAACAATTTTAAGTGTATGGGGGAAAGTCATGATAACTAGTAGTGGGGAGGGTACCCAGAGGGTAGAACTATTAACAATGGGTGGCAATTGCAATCAGGCAACCAACGCTCACAGTAAGTATCAAAGTGTGATCAATTAAATCAATCAGCTACCTCACACCTCAATTGAATTAACTAATAAGATTACAACCTAATTCCTCTATCAAGCAGAACACCTCTATGTATGCAATCAATCAACCAATCAATCAAGGATATTAAACTAGTCCTTGGTTAAATGTGAATGCTATTGGATGAAATTATACTGGATGGGAAATATATTGAGATTTCCTAGTGAGACTCCATCATACCCTGTGGGTCTTATATAAATTAGCAATCCAATTCAGAACCCAGTATTTGAATATTGGGCCAGCCTAAGTCTTTAAAAAGAAATCCCTGGCAAGTGGGGTGGGGGAGGGGGGGAGAGATGAACCTCTGTTACTGCCTACTTCCCTTGATCAGAGGATGAGTATATGAACTTCAAAGGGGCAGAGCATTTAAACTTCTCATTGGCATTCTAATAGTGTCCCTGAAACTAGTGACTGATAGCAGTGTATTTACTATGGACTAAGAATAATCTAGAAACACTGAGAAAAGGCAACTTTGGGATACTATAACACTATGTGAACTGATGAAGGGATTAAAGTCTCCTTCCCTAAACCTAGGCTGAACTTGAACACAAGTTCCATCAGATGTCAGAGCTACATCTGGCTTCTATCCTTCTTTGCCCACTGAACTTCTTGTGACAGAACTTAAACCAAAGCACAGATAAATCAATTATTCCCTGTTTCCCAAGAGAAACTCCCTGAATCTGTCCCAATTTCATCATGGCTTCAATCTTCCATAGCTCCTCTGGCTCTGTCTTAATTCCTTAAAGCAGCTGAAAAATTGTTTACATCCCCTGACTTGGGCAAAGTCCCCATCACCCTGCCCTAGTTTTAGCTTTTAGTAAAATCAGCTCACAGGAAAGGAGGCTGTTTACATGGGGCCTTACATATCAATAAAAATGTTGAGATCTAATCTATGTTTAGATGGGGATATTTACACAAGGCTTTATAACCTTCTCTCCATCATATTTATCTTAGAGGCAAAAGTGGGTCTGAGAACTGATGGGATTTCTGAGATTTGGAGAAAAGCATTTTCTCTCGACCATGAAAATGATTTTTGGCTCTTTTTGAGTTGAAGGTGGTCTTAAGTCACTTATGAGAGTTTTGGAAGAGATCAGACTGAGAGGAAGGACCTGGAATTACATGAGTTGAACAGTAATAGTAGGAAGAGAAGGCAACAACAATATGAATTGGAGAGAAGTAATGGCACAAGAGCAATAGGTGAAGAAAGGGAAAGGATAGAAAGCTGAACTCCAAGGGAAGGGAGATATAGAGGTGAACATCTTGGAATAAAGAACTCACATTGAGGTTGATGGTTGAAAACTCCACTTCAAGGACTAAGGGAAGTTCATTTTCTGGCTTCCCCTCACTGAGCCTGTCTACTAAGAGGTATTTTATACTCTTCTCAGTTACGTTACCTAATTATTTCCTGCATCCTAATTTTACTTCATATATAAAGAAACCTGGGGCCAGTCTTACATATTTAGTATAAACTGAGAAAATGGAAATGGAAGAAACCAGTGTTAGCTGAAAATCTGCAAAATTTAAATTGGGACAGAGAGCCAAACTGATGCCTGAATGTTAGGAAAAAATCCTAACTGGGGGCTTGGAGCTACTGTGATTGTTTTAATAACTTCATTTGATTCAAATTCTATAAATAGTCAGGGAAAGGGACTATGTGGAACTGAGGGTCATTATATTGCCCCTAGGCTAAAAGCAAGCTAATTTTGTAATTGGGTGTATCATATTATCTCTAAAGGGTAGGGAAGCAAAGAAAAGGGTACAGTGACTGAAGAAAAGATCTCTCCCTAAACCACCCCATAGGGAGAGGACAGGCTATGCTTGGGAAGGATTCAGCTCCACTCTTTTTCAGAAGGGAGGATGGAGCAAAAAAAGATCAAGTACTTCGTGGTCAACTCTATAACAATATCTGGCAGTATTACATAGATATCTGTTTTTCTTGGGGTGAAAATCAATAGCATATAACTTTTGAAATTGTTTCATAACTTTAAAAAATAAGTTCAATCATATTATCTCTTCAATGGCTTATACCAGATTGCTATAGTATATGCAGGAGTTTTGCCAAAAATTGAGAAACTGTTTCAAAAGAAGTCATAATCAATTATGTTACAACTTTTAAAAAATCAACATGCACAAACACATTTGTTCATTAGAACCCACTGAATTTTGGTTAACTCTTTACTTGAAGAAAGATTCAATTCTTCTTTGGGCAGCTTCCTTGACAATAATTTATAGTGACACCATCATTTTGAGAGAGAAAGAAATATCTTTATATATCCTCTAAAAATTAGCCTTCATTATTCTCTAACAGTATTAAAAATTATTACCTGTGCATATATATCCCGATTGGCCTGCAAACCAACTTTTACAACCTCAAAAGGATTAACTATAATAGCTTCTGTTATTCCAGATCCCAATCCTGCAACAGCAAATGCCTAAAAAAATTAAATAAATCAATATTTTAAAACAAGTTATTATTTGTACCATGTGAAATCACTATATCCTGCAGCTAAATGTTGTGATGAATATGAAGAGATCTACACAAATAGACAGTATACCATTACTAAACAGCTTTAGTCCTTGATTGGATGCTGACAATTCATGACGAAGAAATTACAGAAGCCACAAACCACATTCTAAAAATTCAAAATAAAATGTCAAGTCTATCAACAACAATTTCTTTCCATTATCCAAGAAAAAGGCCACATTACTGATTTAAGATGTATGTTAACATATGACCTTATATTCAATTTCATTAGATTTTGAACTTATAAAGAGAGAACTTCATTTTTAAACATTTATTTAAATATACTTTTCAGGGCTTAAATAGCAGAGCCAAAATAAAGTGTTTTTTTGTTTTGTTTTGTTTTTTACTCAGAATTTAGGTAATCTACAGATTAGTTAGAAATATTTAAGAATGTATCCATAGTGACAATATTCATATGTAAAAATTAAATATTGTTATGCTAACAATATAAGTTTCACTAATTTGAAAAAAAATATCCATTTTCATTTGATTGCCTTAGTTTTTAGAACCCTGATAAAATATTAAATCAGGAATAGTTGAGTTTTCCTATAGCATGAAACTAAAAACTAGAAATTTTACAAAAGAATAGTTATAGGGGAAATAGCAATGTTAGCTGTTGAGAATTTCTGTCATAGGAAGGTAGAGTTTTTTGCGTAAACACTTTCCATGCACAATATTTATTTGTTATTACAAATCTTTGAAATTATATGTAATAAAATACATTCAAGAGACAGATTTAATAAATAAAGTAAATGTATGTGTATCTTTGCAATTTTTCATTTCAGAAAGATCAACAGAAATGTTGCCAATTTTACATTATACAAAATGAACATCTATGAAAAGTGAAAAACCACCTAATTCACTCTCGCTTGCAGCAACATAATATAGAAGAAAATATGGCAGATTTGCATCAGAGGTACTAGATTCAAATTTTGGATCTGCCATTTACTACTATCTGTGAAATCATGGGCAAATCATTCAATTTCTCTGGGCCTCAGTTTTTTTTATCTATAAAGTGAAGGGGTTTGACTAGATGACCCTAAAGATCCTTCTACCTCCAAATTTATGACTTCAAGTATTATTTTCTCATTTTCAGTAGCAGTTTCTCTTCAGTGTCCAGTTTTATTGATTTTCTCTCTCTCTCTCTCTCTCACTCTCTCTCTCTGTAGAATTATCATTTTTATTATATTGGCTTGGCCTATCCGTGAGTGATCAATGTTTCTCCAATTTTTTAGCTCTTTAGATCTGTCTTTATCTGTGTGAAAAAGTGTTTTGTAATTGTGTTCATATAGTTCCTAGGTCTGCCTTGGCAGGTAGGCTCCAAGTATTTTATACTGTCTGCAGTTATTTTAAATAGAATTTCTCTATCTCTTCCTGTTGGGTTTTGTTGGTAATATGTAGAAACACTTTGGGTTTATTTTATATCCTGAATAAGGTTACTAACTGTTTCAACAAGTTTTTTAATTGATTATCTGAGGTTGTCTAAGTATATCCTCACATTGTATTAACTACTTCTCTTGACAATAACTACCTCTAGGATCACTTAGTGGGAAGTTCTACCATCTTGGCTTGTCTTTGGTTGATACCTATGTTTCTGTCAGATTATGTGTTTATGTGTATAAAAATACCCATATACACATATTTACATATGCATGTGTGTATGTATCAGAGCTATAACTGTCAGAGCTAGGATTCAAATCCATGTTATCAGACTTTAAATTCATCACCCTTTCCATTCTATTGTATTGCTTCTCACATATTTGTGGGAAGATTATTCCTTTAGGACTTGTGTGTGTATCAGTTACATTAATTTCATTTGTAGCAAAGACACCAAAATCCAAGAGAGAAAAAAGGGAACAGTGGGAGATAGGCAGAAAGAGGAAGGGAAGGGAATACCCATTTATATAGCACCTATTATGTCTCAGGCACTGTATTAAGTACTTTCAAAAAAAAACATACTCTCTCATTTGGTCCTCACAACAACCCTGGGAGGTAGGTGCTATTATTATTCCAGTTTTACAGTTGAAGAAACTGAGGCAAACAGAGGTTAGGTGACTTACCCAGGGCCACAAACTACTAAGTATCTGAGGCCAGATTAGAAGAGTTTAAAATCACAATTTTAATTAAGTATTAAAATAGTGTTTTAGTCATTTCTCAAAAAGCTCTTGTAATCATTATTTTACAAACTAATTTCATTCTAGAATCCCCAAATCTCAAAGTACCATTTTTATTACGAGTGAAATAAAGGCTAAAAATAAAAGCATGTTTATGTATGACCATTCACACACACACATCTGCAATGTAAAAGTACATGTGTTTTTAAGGTTTTTACATAAATACTGTATTTTGCATTATTGAGTCATATTCATGCAAGCTTTCCTATACATCTTATTATCATAGGTTTGTTTCTAGAATTGAAATTATAAATTAGTAGAGAGATGATTTTTAACAAAATACTCAACATTGAATAACTAGCCTTCATATTTTTAGCAGCTAAATTTTAAGAATCAAAAAATTATCTTGTTTTAGATTTTGTTTTATGAAATAACAGTCACAAGAGTACAGTAAACACTCTTACTTACCAATCCTGGCGACAATGACACATATCCAAGTAATTTCTTATACTGTTCAAAGGCAAAAAACTGTAAAATGAAACAATAACAGAGATTGGTAAAAAATTTTTCTCCCAATAAGACACTGAAATGAATTAAACTTCAGGTTGTACTTCTTCCAATAAGATATTAAATTAATCAGTACCTTAAAATGATGTGCTATTTCATATGAAATATGCCACAAGACTTCCAATTTATAGTCTGTTTTTGAGTAATAGCCATTTGGATCTTACCCTAACATTCACATTTTCAAATTCTATCATAACCTGCAAAATAACTAATGGAATCCTTTATGGCAGTAAATGAACCATTCAGCTTCCATTTACCATGACCATTTTCAGTTTGGACATCAGTAGACTTCTTTTTGTGGTAGTGATTCAAAATTATAGGCTTACAGACCTAAAATCTTTGGTCTTCTATGTTTTGTAAATGAACTGCTTTCCCTATGAATGCTCAAGTTTCTAACCAATGTATGTAAAAATCCACCTCTGTGCCTTAATTACATTAATAAATTACATAAATAAATAAAAATAATTAATTAATTAAAATTAAGTCAACACTATTTATGTTTCCCTACTATTCCAAGAATATTGTCATGAACTCAATGAATGTTTGGGGATAGTGAAGATCTAAATATGTCTGTGCAGATCTAAGGTCCCGCCTTCAAGTAGGATTTCACTTAAACTACATTACAAAGAAAATTATGTATTGATTGACTTAAGATCTTCAAAGGTGGAGACTCTACAAACTCCTATGAAGATGACAGAAATGATGAGTGTGACTTCAATAGAAAGTGAATAATGTAATTTCTTCTTAAATCAACTTCCATATATAGTTCCAACCAACTGTTTAGCCCATGAATTTTCTATTTGGGGCAACAATCCTCAAATTTTTAACTCCTAGCACATAACACAATTAATTCTTGGGGTTAGGGTAGATACATTCAGGATGTCTGCTGCACTATGTACTACTCTTAAAAGCTGTTTTTTGGACCCTAATTTCATTTTCTAATGAGATCCTTAAAAGATGTATAACCTGACCTGAAAATATGTCCTACTTTATTATATTGTATGCTATAGACCGAGCAAGAAACTATACATATAGAAATACATAGGGGGCAGCTAGGTGGCATAGTGGATATAGCTATGGTCTTAAAGTCCAGAGGACCTGAGTTCAAATCCAGCCTCAGACACTTGACACTTACTAGTTGTGTGACCCTGGGCAAGTCACTTAACCCCAATTGCCTCACCAAAAAGCCAAAAAAAAAAAAAAAAGAGAAATACATATGCATACATACATGTGCGTATATGGAGAGAAAGAGAGACAGCGAGAGAGACGGAGAGACAGAGAGAGAGAGAGAGAGAGATTTCCATTCTGAGGTCTTATCAGGGTGTGGAAGTGGCCATGGGTTCTCGAACATTATGCCAGTGGACTGCAAGGTCTAGAAGGTACTAACATGCTAGAAAGGCTTAAAGTCTGGTCCCAGCAACAGTCTGTGTTTCCAAGGAGTGACTTAGCTAATCTCAAACAGATTTATCATCAAGGAGTTGGCCACTTGGTATTTAATTCTTTGACCCTGTCTTAACTTTTGAATTAGAATGACTCTTATGTAAGATTGCTTAGATTTATTTAGCATTTAATATGTGCCAGGCACTGTGCTATGAGCTAAGGATGCAAGCAATCAGGACAATTTCTGTCCTCAAGGAGCTTACATTCCAAAATGTACCTAAGAAAAAAAAAGTATAAGCTGGAGTTCAAGTCTCAAAAGTAGAGCACAATTAATCATCACTTCCATTTCACATTGTTAATTTTTTTTCAAAACAATTGATAACAAAAGATTCTTAAAAATCAAACATGTCACACTGTTTTATTCAAGTTACATTTGATGCTATTTAATGAAATAGTTTATGATTTAAAATTATTATAGTAATAAATATAAAGATAAACATCTTTAAAATGAGTATTTTCATATATTGTGTCTAAAAACTAGTGCTGTCCATCTGGCAAGTAGGCATTTAAATCCAAGTTATACTTAAAAAGCTTACCACATGCCTTAGTAATTTTCAGGTAAAATGTACTTGAAACAAGATGTCTGGTATCCAGACACAATGTACAGTTGCCCAAAAGTTCATCTGTTAATCATTGTTCTGGCAGCATACTTTTCCCACTATATCAGTAGAAACTTACTCAGTTTGGTAAACCTCAACTTTTTTTCTTAACTAAAAAGAGTGCTCAACTTTGATAAATCTAAATCCCCTCAAAGTTCAAATTCTTTACCATATTTAGTATCAAGAAGAACTACATCAGGAGAATAAATGTGACAATTTATTTTATTTGTGTATGCAAATTTCTATAGAGATGAATATATTACTTTGCAAAAACAAAGCAACTATTATTTTGAACAAGAACTCTGCCTTGTTTGATTATCTGGGTATCCTTTATCAGTGAAACAGTTACATAATTCAATTCAGTCCTTTTGTTTACTTTGGTGTACTTTTCCCCCAGATTTTCCACAGTAACTCAAATCATCATGACAAACTTCCTCCTGAAGTAATAGTTAAGATGTCACAAAAACTTAATAATTTGGAATACGGAAAGACAAATTAAAGTATTATTTCAATATTTTCATTGAGTTACAAACTTGAATCAAATGATATTGTTACTATTTTAATATAGTGCAAAGTTTTGTATATGGTTTTATGTATGTGTAGGTGTATTTTTTTTTCTTTTCTCACTCTTTCATAACCTTATTATATTTCTGGATGGCTCTATAAACCAGGGATAATGTTTGTCCCGTCCAACCTTTTAATGAAATGAAATCTTTCTACTTTGTCAAATCTATTATTATCACTATGGGTACTCTCCACAAATGCAGATGTCATTATGCCTGTTAATCCTATTTAATTATTGTCTATATCTTTCTTTAAACTTGTTAAAAAATTTTTTGTTGATAACTTCTCTTTTTATACCAAAGTCATTTATAGATGCTTGTTCTTCTCTCTCGCCTCCTCCCTGAAACTCAACCAAGGGAAACCTCACTCTCTAACAAAGAAAAGCAGTCAAGCAAAATCGAAATAGTAAACTGTATGTAGCATAATGTTCACCATTCTGTCTATTTAGTCCTCCATATCTGCAAGGAAAAAAGAGAGGTTCTTTTCTTTAATTTTTCTCTGGGACCTAGATTGGTCATTATAGTTACAGACTGTGGCTTTATTTTAATGAACTTCTCATTTACATTATTGACTTCAATAATGTGTATATTCAATTATTGTATATATTGTTTTACTGGTTCTGCTACTTCACTCTGCATCCATTTATACAAATCTTTTCATGCTTCCCTAAACTCTCCAAATTGATCATATCTTCTGGTCATATGATCATATCATTTGCATTTGTCAAACAAAAGGTTACTCATTTACTACTGTGTACTGTGTGTCTACTCTGTTCTACTGATCCACCTTTTTACTTCTTAGCCAGTACTAGATAGTTAAAATTGTTTTTTTTTGTTGTTGTTGTTCAGTCATTTCAGTTGCGTCCAACTCTTTATGACCTCATTTGGGGTTTTCTTGGCAACCATAGTAAAATGGTTTGCTGTTTCCTTCTCCACTGTACAGATGAGGAAACTGAGACAATGTTAAGTGACTTGGTCAGGCTCACACAAACTGGAGTCTGAGGCCACATTTGAACTCCAGTCTTCCTGACTCTAGCCTGGACTTCACTGCACCATCTAGCTGCCCCATTTTGATATTTATCATCTTTTAATATAGTTTAAGATCTGGCACTGCTAACTCCCCCATTTTATGTTTTCATTAATGTTTTAAATTAATTCTTTTGATATTCTTGACCTTTTGTTCTTCCAAATTAATTCTATTATTTTTTCCCAGCTCAATAAAATACTTTTTAGATAATTTAATGGGGATGGCATTGAATAAGAAAATTAAGTAGAATTATCATTTTTAATATATTGGCTTTGCCCACTCATGCACAATTAATATTTTTCCAATTATTTAAATCTGACTTTATTTGTATAAAAAGTATTTCATAATTATGTTCATGTAGTTACTGAGTTTTACTTGGCAGGTATTTTCTGCTGTCTATGGTCATTTTAAATGGAGTCTCACTATCTCTTCTTGCATGTATTTGTCGGTGATATATAGAAATGCTGATGATTTATATGGGTTTATTTTATGTCCTGCTACTTTGCTAAAATTATTAATTGTTTCAACTAGCTTTTCAGTTAAATCTCTAGGGTTTTCCAAGTACATCATCCATTATCTGCAAAAAAGAGGTAGTTTTATTACCTCATTGTCCATTTTGATTGTCTCAATTTCTTTTTTTCTCTTATTGATATTGTTAGCATTTCTAATACAATATTGAATAATATTGGTGATAATGGGCATCCTTGTTTCACTCTTGATCTTACTGGGAAAGCTTCTAGCTTATTCTTGTTATAAATAATGCTTGCTGATCATTTTAGGTAGATACTTCTTATCATTTTAAGAAAAAGTCCATTCATACCTATGCTTTCAAGTATTTTTAATAGGAATGAGTGTTGTATTTCTTAAAAGCTTTTTCTGTATCTATTGATATAATCATGTAATTTTTGTTGCTTTTGTTATTGATATAATCAACTAAGTGAGATTTATGCCAGCAATGCAGGGATGGTTTAATATATGACATATATTAATATAAGTTCTATATATTAATATATTAATTAATCTTTGTGATATATTGTTGTAGTCTCCTAGGTAGAATTTTATTTAGGATTTTTGCATCCATATTCATTAGGAAAATTGGTCTATATTTTTTCTTTTCTGTTTTTGCTCTTCCATTTTAAGTATCAGCACCATATTTATTTCACAAAAGGAGCTTGTTAGGACTCCTTTTTTTTGCCTATTATTCAAAATAATTTATTTAATATTGGAATTAGTTGATTGTTAAATATTTGATAGAATTCACTTTTAAATACATCTGGTCCTGACATTTTTTCTCAGGAAGCTCATTTATGGCTTGTTCAATTTCTTTTTCTA